CGCCAAACCTCCCCTCCACCAATCAGAGCCAGCCCCTGAGCGACGTTTGGAGGGGGCAAGCGTTTTCTCTCATATTCTCCCACCCACCGCGCTCGTTCTGGCCAATAAGAACAGCGGTGGGTGCCTCACTCCCCGCCTCCAGCTGTTGATTGATGTAACTCCGGACAAATAGAGAAGCCAGACAACAGGGTGCCGCCAGTCAGTACGGCTAACAAAGGGCGGACATCAATTTACACACTGAACACCAGGGGTCCCTAAAGGAAGGAAGGAAAGAAAACCTCCTCGGCGGTGCATGCTGGGAAATGGAGTCCCCGCCTCACTCTAAACCCGTCTTTGCCCCACATCTCTGGCCGCCTCCGTTTAACCGTGCCTCCAACCGCCCCGGGCCTGAGGGGAAGCGGGTAAAGCTGGGACGAGGAGGGAGAACGGGCACACTTCAACCGCGACAGACGTTGCTCTCACCCTCTACCTTAAAGAAGCTGAGGCATTTACCCCGGCATTGCTATTTTCCTTAAAAAAGGACCGAAACACACTGCCTGCCCTGCCTAGTCCCTTCTCCGCCCCCTGCCCATCGTCACTAAGCAGGATGGAGGTGGCAATGTGGGGAGGGAATTCTTTGCACGGGTCGACCCTCAGGCCTGTCTAGTTGTGGACACTGCGGGTAAAGGGGGAGCAGTCCCAGCTCCAAAAATACGTAGTCCCATTTTAGGAGTGGAGAAACAAAGTGATACCAGTGAAGTAACGAGTTGGAACTAGTTGATCTTAAGGTCCGTTCCAAACCTAATCATTCTTTGATTCTATACTGTGAGGGTGGTGAGGCCCTGGCACAGGTTGCCCAGAGAAGCTGTGGCTGCCCCATCCCTGGCAGTGTTCAAGGCCAGGTTGGACGGCGCTTGGAGCAACCTGCTCTAGTGGAAGGTGTCCCTGCCCCTGGCAGAGGGTTGGAACTGGATGATTTTAAGGTCCTCTACAACCCAAACCAGTCTGTGATTCTATGGTAATAAGTGCCCAAGACACGCAACATGGCTCCAGCAGGTCATGCATCTTCTGCCCATGTGAGGGTTTGCAGATCTCTGCTGTCGAGCTGAGTCCCTGGCAGATGCACTCTGCCAATCTTCCTGTGGTGGTTTCAGAGGCCGATGCCTCCAGCTGCAGGGCTGATCATGTTGGGTTGTGTTCCCAGCCAGACTCAAGAGACATAAAGCCCTTGTGTTGTGGTTTAAGCCCAGCCAGTAACTCAGCACCACACAGCCATTTGCTCACACACCCCCTCCTCCCCCCCGCCTTCTCCCCCAGCCTCTGGGTGGGGGGTTGGGGAGGAGAATCGAAAGAATGTAAACCCCACAGGCTGAGATAAGAACAGTCCAGTAACTAAAGTATAGTAGTAGTAGTACTACTAGTAGTAGTAATAATAATAATAATGGAAATAACAAGGGGACAGAATATAAAACTAAAAAGGGAAAGGAAAAAAATAACCAGCAGTGATGCACAATACAATTGCTCACCACCTGCTGACCGATACCCAGCCCGACCCGAACAGTTTATATACTGAAGCATGACGTGCTGTGGTATGCAATACCCCTTTGGCTAGTTTGGGTCAGGTGTCCTGTCTCTGCTTCCTCCTGGCTTCTTGTGCCCCTCCTTACCGGCAGAGCACGAGAGACTGAAAAGTCCTTGATCGGGGTGAGCGCTACTGAGCAACAACTAAAACACTGGTGTGTTACCAGCATTGTTATCAGACTGATGCGAAAACACAGCACTGCACCAGCTGAAACCAGGATACCTTGTCAGGGGATCCCACACCTCCAGGACATGACCCATGTCCCTCTGCACAGGTCCTGCCACCCATCACATCCACATAATATTCCTGGTTTCTCATGTGTGCTCTATCTCTGACCATCCAGGACCTCACAGATCCCCATCACACCCCCATTGCCTGGAGAGGCTTGGGATGTGCCCTCTCTTGAGTGCTCCACTTGACCCTGTCCCCTCCCTGAACATTTTCCTTTCAAGCAGGTTTTACAGTTTTCCATCAGCAGTTACCACCACCATTAGCACCTCCATGGCTTCAACCCGAGTTCCTGCCTGTAGGGTGACTGCATCCCCATGCTGCCTACAACACAGCACCATACCGAGCCAAACCAAGCCATGCAGCACTGCCAAAGACCCCCATGGGCAATCAGAACATTTCCTTGCCTCTGCCCTGCTTATCTGTGCGTCCCCAGTGCTCACAGGGACAGGTGGGCCACTGCCACTGCAAGATCTGACCAGGATACCAGCATGCAGACACCCCCAGGCAGGACAACAGAGTTTTAATGTTCCAAAGTACTTGGCAGGGGGAGGTGCAGCAACACCACTGCAGGGAGTTTCCAACGAAGGTGCATCATTTCCACGCCTGCTCAGCTAGGCAAGGGCACAGGCAAGGGACCAGGAGGCATCTGACCCCATCAGGCACACAGCTGGATGTAGGTTTCTTGTGACCAGAGCCAAAAGTATGGGAAGACCTTCTCAGTGAAAGTGGCCTTGAACTGCAAGATCTGCATCATGTTCTCCACATTATAGAAGGTCACTTCGCCCGCTTCGTAATCCAGGTGGACCCTGATTTTCCGGACCTTTTGGTTTAGTTCCAGCGGGGTGGGGGGCATGTGGAGTGCCATGTATTGGCAATTCCAGTCCAGCCTCAGGGCCCAGATCTTCCCCAGGGCCTTGCTGAGGGAGTCCTTCCTCTGCACGGACTCCACGGCCACCCCAACGGCCCAGCTGTCCCCATCCCCTACCTCTAGCTCCCAGTAATGCCTCCCAGCCGTGAAGCCCCTGGAGCCCAGGATGCTGGGGCTGCCCGTGAATCTCTTAGGGTTGTCAGGGAGTTCTCGCTCTGTACTTGCCAGCCACACGGTCTTGCAGTCCTTCGAGAGGCTCAGGTCCGGGCTCGCCGTCTCTGGGTCCAGCCATATCTTCACTAATGCACGACACAGAGGAACATCAGTCCATTGCCTACTGAGGAGTGAACCAGCACCTCTCCCTGCTCTGTCCTGGGGCTGGGACACATCCCGTGAGCACAATGGGCACTCGTATCCCATGAGTGCACACACACAGCACCTGCAGCCCCCTTAGGTGGCATGGGACACAGGACCCTCGCTGCCCTCCCCACTGGGACCCACTGGAGAAGCAACGCTTTCTGAAGCGGGACTGAGCCAGGCAGTGTCCCCACACTCAGGGGACAGACACGATGGGCTTTGCTAAACCTGCTTCCAGAATACTGCTGGCTCTGAGTTTGTGGGGCTGCAGTAAAGCCGAGTGTGGGGGGTGCAATACACCCCCACGGGTGTGAGGAAGCATTGCCTGCAAGGCAGCAGTGGTGCCACGGCAGAGACCTTGCTCCACCGAGCAACCAGGCAGTCTCACCGCAGAGCCGGAAATACCCGTTCATGTGGGATGTTCTGCTGCCATCCCGCGGCCATCCCACAAGGCCACAGAGGTGTCACCACACAGTGCCACCACCCCAGGACCTCTGCCAAACCTACTCCTCCATGGCCTCAGATTTCCCCAGACAGGGACTGCAGTGTAGGGGAAACTGAGGCACGCCTGTGCTGAGCGTCAGGTCCCTCATCCCAAAACCTAAGAGGGCATAGACTGAGCCCTGCAATGCTGCCAGGACCATGTGGACCCCAAGCACCTGCAAAAGCATTTCAAATCTGTGCCTAAAAGCCAGGTCAAAATGAACAGGGCTCCTCTGCTTAACTACTCAGAGTCTTACACATCACAGCATAAGAATAAAGTGTCCACCAACAGGGAAGCTGAGGGACTCATACTATCCTGGCTCTTGGATTGTGTCTGGGTGTTGTCTGGCATGGGGACAGACCTGGATTTTTATAGTCAAAATGAAGGGACCCGGTTTTAGACAGACCCTGGAGTTAGATGATGTGGTGTGAGTCCAGCTCTGCACCAAGGACACAAGGGAACTCATTCTGGAAAGCTTTTCTCCCTCATTTACGCCCATCAGCTCCAGAAACTCACCCCTTTCTCTGTCGATTTTACTCAGCAGGCTCACTAGAGGAGGGAAAGGAAGAAGTATGAGACTCTTGCAGCAGTTCTGCTCCCCATTAGGACAGGAAGCCAGATGTGGAGCTTGCTCCCCAGCCCCCGGCTCCAGCAAAGCCCATCTCAGAGGGTCCCATCTGGAGCAGGCGTGTTCTGCTCCCAGATGCTGGTGGTGAGGATCAACTTCTGCAGCTGAGCCCAGGGAAGCACAGCGGAGACAGCAGCGCTCACCTGGGATCTGGACACCAGCTACACAGCAAGGCATTGCTCACTCCTGCTTTGCTTTACCTTTGAATTCGGCCATCACAGCTGTGACCTTCTGGCTAGTCTTAAAGAGTCTCTTAACAGTCCTCTCCAGCCCCGGGGAAACCGGCTCAGGGATCGGGGCCTTTGCTGCCTCACACCTGAGGGGGAAACAACATGGAGAGGAGCTCTGACCCCAGCGGTCAGCCAGCACCTGGGGCTAGGAGAGAAAAAAGGGAAAACCCCCTACAGCCCAGAACTCCAGAGAGCCCTGTCCCAACTACTGGCATAGGAACCCCATCTTCAACAGGGTGCCACGGGCTCTGGTTCCAGATAACATTCCATTAAATCCCAAATGCCCAGCAGGGCAAAGCCACCTCCCTCCTGGCTGCTGCTGCTCAGCTGCCTGCAGCGTTTCCAAACCTCTGCCCAAAAGAGCCGCGCAGAAGAGTGATGCCGAGCCTGTTTCATACCTGTCCAGGATTTTGCCAACATCCTAGAAGAGAGGAAACATCAGGTCAGCTCTGGCACTGTCGGTAAGGACCGCAGTCCCTGCGGCAGTGAGTTACAGCCACTCCCCTGCTGCGTGAGCCAGGGTGATGGAATTGAGAGGGTGACACCAGTCTCCTGGGGACTCTTCAGTGAGTCACTCGCCCAAATCTTCAGCTCACGCTGCAGGCCCAGCCTCACACCACACACCGCAGTGTCATGGCCCAGCCAGCACTGTGCTGCCCTTCGCTCCCAGGTTGCACGGGCACTGGGATTCAGATGATGCCCCCAGCCTCACCACAGATGGTCACAGCACCCGGGTGGGTAACGTAGCCTCACCGTAAGAAACTCAACCATCGGCTGGTCACATTTCTTCTCTATCTCCGCAATCAGTGTGTCCAGCACCGTTTCCCTCTCTGAAATGCTGGAGGTGTATCTGCAGAGCTCCTGCTTGAGCTCCTCATGCATCTCGCCAAGCTGGGCCAGCAGGACATCCTCCTGCTCCTGCAGGAACTGCTGCAGCTGCGTGAAAGCATCTCGCAGGCTCTGCTGCTCTGAGGCCACCTTACCCTGCAAGACACCCACACAGATGCCCCTGAGCCATCCCATTCCCCGGCTGATGCACCGCAGCATGGGAAGGGGGCTACAGAGAATGGGGCAGGATCATGGGGAAAAGAAGTTCTGGAGAGGAAAAGCTGGAAGAGTAGAGGGGGAGAGGGGTGACAAGGCTGGGTCTTGGTGGCCCCAAAATGACAGTGGAATCTGAGAGAGCAGGAGTGACAAAGGATATATGGGATGGACAGAGAGGGAGAGAGGAAGTGGTGTGGTTATGGAAAAGGAGATAAATATTTATGGCAACAGGGAAGATGGGATGCAGCTGTGAAGACAGGGAAGGGGAACAGTGTGCACATGAAGAGAAATAGCTACCAGCAGGCCGTCACTTTTCTTCTGTCCCATGGGCCTAAATTCTTCTTTCTCTTTTTGTAGAAGAACCAGGTTGTTCTGGAGTGTCTCCTGGGAAAAAACAGAAGAGAAAATAAAAATAGGCGTATTTGATGGTTACATATGCAGGAGTGAGATGATGTCACCGAACAGCCCCTGTGGGGCTCCCAGCTCAGCTCCACTTGGAGCCAGAACCCACTTCTCCCCCACCAGCTGTTATGCCAGGACAGGGACATCCCCATGCACAGCTGAAACATTTCTGGAACAGCTTCATGTGGAAAGCCTGGAGTTTGTGGTTTTGCGGGTTTTTTTGGTTTTGTTGGTTTGCTTTGGTTTTTTTAATAAGGAAAACCAACTTTTGGTGTTGGAAGTGGGATTTGTGGGAAGAGGTTTGTGGTGACAGCAGCACTGTGTGTCAGGCACACTCCATAAATTTGATGGAGTGTTAAATAAACCCCCTTGTGCTCCTCCAAGCCATGCCCTGCAGCAGAATGGGGTGCTGGCCTGCGGCACCCCAGCCCACACGCAGAGAAGCAGAGCCCCTGTCCGCTTCAGCCCCTGCACTGTCCCTGGCTGGAGACGCATGGGGCACTCAGGACCTTGTGGGGCCACACAGCAGGGAGCAGCAAGAGACCTACACCCCTGGGTGGCCTGAGGGAGGCAATGGGCAGTGGGAGGACCAGCAATCCCAGCAGGATAGTGGAAATACAGGACCCCAGCCAACAGCTGGATGAGGACCCAAAGCTGTAGCTGGACAGGGTCCCTAACCTGTGCCCTGCCCAGAGAGGAACCCAGCCTATGCGCAAAAGGGACCAAGATCCATGCCTAGAGGGGATCCCAACCTGTGCTTGAGAGGGGACCACAGATTGATGCCTGGGAGCAGATCCCAGCCCATGCCCAGAGGAGACCCCAGCCTGTGCCCTGAGGTGACTCTAACCAGTGCTTTGAGGGACCCCAGCCCATGCATGAGGGGACCCAGATCCATGCCTGAACTGGATCCCAGCTTGTGCTCAGAGGGGACCCTGACCCAGAAAGGGACCCGAGCCCATGCCCCAAGGGGAACCTGACCTGTGCCTAGAGGGGCCCACAGCCTGTGCATGCGAGGCACCCAGATCCATGCCTAGTGTGCCCCA